GGGGGAACGGGAGTAGCTCCAGATTTGACCGCGGAAATCCGGCCCGGGTTGTCCGGGTCCTTGTAAGACGTGCAACCCTTGTTTGTGACCTTGAGGATGGAGCCATCGTGGACGCTTAATTCCAACTGCTCGAGAACAGTCTGCTTGTCGAGCCCGTGCGTGGCGGCCACGGCATGGCAAATCCTCTCTTCGGACGGCCTCTGCTTCTGCCTCTTAACCTTCTGTATCGCCTCGAGAATCCACTCTGTGTACAGAGGGTTGGCCAGTTTCACCATGGTTGAAGAATTTGTTTCAGAACAGAGCGATCCATAGAGATTTCCCGTTATTCTTGAAACGCGTTAAATGCATCCATAGCTCCAAAGGGACTTTGGAATGAAATGTGGCGGTGCAGCACGTGGCATCATGACTGTAAATCCTTGGAACAGCAGGGAAGTGAACAGCCGAGCACGGTTCATCTGAAGACAAATCCTTAATGGTTTGGGCTCGGAAAACTCGACGGAAACCTACGAAAAGAAGTCAGAAGAGAAAGCAGATTACTACAGCAAGAATGAATTAACAGGCTTGCTTCCTAAAAGCGGTTCAGTAATCCGTTGGGATTCGATTTTGAAATAAAAAACAGGACGGGTTTAACTTCAGGTTGCGACTCAAAGAACTAAAGCGGAGAGCAGATGTGGACTGATACACGACACTGCATGACTATCTACTTAAGAGTTTCCATCAGTCACAAAACAAAACAACTGGGATAATTCAGGTGTGCCCACTTATCATCAGCACAGGAAAGAGCTGCAGCTACCGTCACAGTGTACTGTTGGCAGTGAACTGAAAATGAGACATGAACAGAAAGCACCAACCCCAAGACCTTGCTTTAAACACTCATGTTCGGTTTTTAAACAGACTGAAAGGTATTTCATCCTTATCCTGCGTATTTCCACGGGAAATCCTATACCTGGGGAAAATCTCGATTCTAACCTCAGCCGTCTCCGTTGCTCAGCCTCGGAAAGATCTTTATCATAGAGCAAAAAATAAACCCGCCTGGTTACTTCCCTTCGCGTTCAAGGAACCTGAACAGCTGACGCTGCAGAACACCCTCAGCGTTCGTCTCCTGACATTCGCCAAGTGGAGCCCTCTGGTCCGCAAACCTGCCATGAGCACATCTGCACTTGTCACCCGTGGAAAAGGGCAAGGCCCCGCTTCCTGCCACTCTCCCGGAGCATCCCAACAAAACCTCTGGCACAGGCCAGAGCCAGTAACACACCAAGACCCCCTGATGCACAGACAAACGTCCTGGCTCTACACCACTGCAGACCATATCTGAATGGGCAGAAAGCAAAGAGATAATATCATAACCCGTCTACAGCATGAAAGAACGGATCACATCAAAAAGACCAGAAAACAAGCATCGCTAATACCTGCTACAAATGTTTGACAGCAACGACTTCACGCCAAGATTAAGTCTTCTAATCCCTGGAACAGACAACCGTCTCACATACTGCGATTTTCTGAGAGACAAACGGCTTTACTTATTAATGTGTGTAGAAATTTTCATCTCAAAAGATCTCAAACTGCTTTATGTCCACCCATTGTGTCCACACACAGCAGCCCCACCGCGTAGCGGATCAGGGGGAGGAGAGAGGAAACTGCACCACCAGCGGAATTAAGAGGGAACCTGAAGGAGGGCAGACTGTACAAGCCCAGAGTGGAACTGAGCCAGAACTCCTCAGGTAAATACTGATGGGATCTTTAATGACCCAGAAGTCAGGATCTGGGTTTACAATTCATCTGAAGGACAGTACCTCCAAACTGGAGGAATGGTTTATAAATCGTGGTCCAAATGAAAGAGCGCCATCTACTGGTCTACAATCACCACTTGTAGGAGCAAGCTGTTTTCCTTAAGAGGTCTCCCAGCCATGTTCTGACCAGGCCCACCCCTTATTGACATCTGAGACATGACTAGGGCGGGCGGGCTACAAGGTGGTCATCCAGCTGAGAAAGTGCCGTTACTGGTACCGAGATCTCTCACCAGCAACTCCACTCCAAGAACACCTCTGAGGATAGAGAGATATGCGTACTTGTAAATCACCCCCGATTCTGTGGACATTCTTTTGAAAAAGCATCATGAGATGCAGAAAGAAATGAGGAAATGGATGTCAGTCACAGGTCACTTGTTGAATAAAAATAATACAGACAAAACCTAAAGCCTATCAGGTGACTTTCAATAGGCAGGGGCTCCAATAGTTTTTTTTTTCCCCCTACACCAAAACAAATAATGCTCAGTTAACAGGACATAAACATTAGATTTACATACGTCAAACATAGCTACCATTATTTCAGTCAACTGTCACCTTTAAGGATTCTGAGCCCGGCTACCTGCGGCGTCACCTCAACAGGCTCTCCTGCAGTCCTGTGGGGCCCGCCAATTGCCGAAAAAAACACTGCAGTGACCTCCTGGGGGCCAGCTGACACACAGAGATGGACAGATCGCTCCACCAGTAACCGCGCTGAAGATCAGGGGCAAAAACGAAGCTGAAACTGGGCACACGCAGTGCAGTACAGTACGGCCAAAAGACCACTTGGACAGCACTCAGGCAGGTTCTTCTTGTGGTGCTGGAGTGAGATTGATCTGGATCGGGAGGAGGGGGGTAAGAGACAGATGGATCAAGTCTGACCAGGAGGACTGGAGCTGGAGACGGATTTGGAGAAGTGGCGGTAAACCATCAGTCAGGGTTTGTCTGAGACTTTAAGCTAGAGATCTGGGACTGCATACACATATTTTGTCTCAACTCTTATATCAGAAACACTAGGGATTTGTCAACAAAAGCCAAATCTCTAGTGTCCCAACTAGTGTCACAGCTCCCGTAGGTCGGAATGGAGGTCAGCAAGTTCAGAAGAACAGAAAAGTACCTGACTACAACAGGAAACAAAAGGGGAGGGGTATTTTAAAACGCCCAAACAACCACATTATTTACTAACGTTTAATAAGCAACTTTTCCGCTCTAAAAAGTAGCCGGGCAGCAGACATCCCAGTACACCAGAGTGAAATAAAAAAAAAAACGTGAACATCTAATAGTCAAACGGACACAAAAGCCCTCCATCAATAAAAACATATCGATATCAAAACCACACGTGCACGTAAGGAGTGTTTTTTTCTCTCTCCATCTGCTACAGGCCTGCGGGGCGAGCAGTGCGCCGAGCAGCCAGCAGGTGACCCGCAGTGTGCAGATTCTCTCGGGCTCCTCTACCTGCTACAACCCCCAGATCACACTGCGGCTGCAGGGCAGGCGAGCACTGCAAGAAGCGGACACGCATCCCGCAAACTCCGTCCCCCCCGCCTCCGCTGCGTGTCCCTCTTCCGCTGTCACGGTCCGCTCGCGCACTCCCACGGGCGACCGTGGCCGCGACTCCAAACTCTGCGCGACCGTGGAGGGGGGGAGAGGGAGGGAGGGAGCCCGTTCTAACGAGCGCACACACATCGGGATGAAAATAAAAATTAAACAACATTTAACGTGAGAAAGCACTCCAGGTGTGAATCTCATCCCTCTCACACCAGGCGCTCGCGTGTTTAATCGCCTCTCCTTAAACTTGAGACGCGCCCGAAGTTCACTAAAGAAACACTCGCTAACCACCCACCGAGGAGGAGGGGGGGGACATCGTCGCTCGGAGTAAAAACCTGTCACTGTTCTGGTTTCAAGTTTAAAGGTGCATCACCAATGTTCTGGGTTACCTCGCACGAAACACACTGTGCGTCCGCTTCCGACGGGTGATCAAGGATAATTTATGACGGCGAGTTAATGCTGCAATTAACGTGCGCGCTGCAATGAATGAAAGGCAAACCACAAACCTGGACTTCTAACAGCTGAGTGGCTGTAGGGCTGCCTGCGCCGCTGCCTGCTGGTGTTACCTAAACAGACGCCATTTTGTTACAATGTTGTAGTTTACATGAATCCGACATGACACTGATTACAGCCCAATGGAGTCTCATTAAGCCTTACCTACACGCTGATGCGCCCTCCCCAGCAACTTTAATATTGGTCCAGAAACACCAAGCCCGATTTCTGGTTTGATAAGCGTCTTGTCAATCATCCGCCTAAGGCCTGCCCTTCGGCCAACTCGTCTACGCGACTGGTGGGCACAGCTGCCAATCATTCCTCGGCGTCCCTCCTCTTAAGGTAATCGGTAAATTACGCTGCATGCCACTCGCACATCCCCCGGTGCGGTTTCCCAGGGATTACAAAAAATTAAATTAAAGCACGACTCAATACGGGATTTAGCCAAAGGATTTATTAATCGAGTCATCGACTAAGATAAAAAATGACAGCAAAGAGTTCACACAAGCTGAAAAAATGCCCCGTGACTTGGCAAGCAGAGACTCAACCCTCGCCAGCCCACCTTTACAAAGGCTCCATCTCGAATCGATTGGCTACTGTCGAAAGTGAATTGGAACATTTTAGATTTTAATTGGTTGACGGTTATATCCATCATTTATTTGCTAAAGTACCACATAATCGCCTATGCCGAAGTTTGTCGGGCTGTAATGTTTATATCCTTAGCGGAGCTTTGCAATACGAGAACGTTTGCTTCGCTGCTTTAATTGCAGTAACACCATCTTTGCGCTGGGCTACACGATGCTCTCGATTTTTTGGTGAAACCTTTTTTTCCATGCATTTCACCACCCGTGCAAATAATTTAAACAAATGTAAAATGCATGCACGGAATTCATTCTCGTTATTTTGCATCGCCTCTTTCCCCCAAAAAATTAACACATGCGCTTAATATTTATCTTTTACCTGACGATAAATAAATCACCAACTCGACATTTCTTGACAAATACTGATTTTCGAGGACATAAAATCAACCAGGTCATATGGAAGTCTAAGCGTCTATGTATAAAATCTGGAAATTTCCATCGCAACACTTAAAAGATGCATTCTTATGTCGCCCAGACCATTTTCTCCAGTAACACGCCTCTTTACCACTGTAAAATTTCTGCGCGGTTTTCAAGTTAAACGTGAAATGATTCCACGATGATGCTGCTGCTGCTCCACGCTCAATCTTTGCAATATAACCAGACCGAGAACGAGAAGAAGAACGAACGAAACCGGGGAAAGAGGAAAAAAAAATGCCTGCTAACGCTAATGCGAACATTTGTTGGTAGTTACCTTTTTTAAGTTTGCTCGGGGTTCTCCTCTCTTCTCCCCATAAATGCGGTAATTAAACGATGAAGGAGAAATAAATAAAAACCGGGAATTCCAAAGGCGTTCTTTTATTTAATAAATGGACGCACGCGACAGCTCGCGCTGAGGCAGAAGGACCTGATAACAACTAATTGAAAGGTTAATCTGCATAGCAGTCTGTGACAAAGTAGTACCCTCCCCTTTCTTCACTCTGCCTCTAATGCACTTTGGAAAAGGAGAGTTAAAGTCGTGTTCCTCTGTCGGTGTACACTTAAAACTGCGACCAGGGGAAATTAATCTCCCTCCCCTCTTCGGGAAGGGGGGGCATAAAGACCACCTTTATTAATAACATCGTTAGAGGGGAGAGAGAGAGAAGTATTTTATTGATTAGATTGGAGGAAGCCGCGTATTTCACAAAATGCCAGGACATCACAGGACTTTTGTCATTGCAATAAGAATAGTTTTGACAGACATGAATTGTGTTTAAATCCCTGCGTGTCTGTCTGTAAACCACACCAGATCCAAGGGAATAATGCAACAAAGATATGAAAATACTGCATACTAAATTATGGAATGGAGTGCAAGTATGTTTCGCGACTTTAAGGGTAAAACAGATGGATTTTTTTTCCCTGGTGAAAACAAAAACATGATTTGTGAGGCTAACAGGGAATGACATGTGGTTGTAGTCCTTCAGAAGAAAGTTAAAATTACGTAATTCCTTAAAACTACGACACATTGATGGCATTAAAAAAAACTCTTCGTCCTGCTGTAAGATCGAACTTTTTGGACAGGGGTCAGAGCGAAGTAAAAACCTTATGTGAGAAACGTTTTTGAGCTACAAATGTGCACCTAACATACAACTAATAATTTTAGAATCCTACCCACGATAATTGTGCCACAAAACTATTCCTTACCCACATCACACTGCAAGACTCCCGCCCTGTTTCCCAGCCCAAGCGTTTGAACCCATTTCTCTGACAGACTGCTAAAAGCCCACCTGGTATTTTCACCATATATCACGATACAATTACCTTTAAACCTAAGGAGCTGTAACATCTGTGTACGTCAGTCTCTTTTTCTTCCTGCGTGACAGTAGGTATCAGATTGCACAACTGAATTGAAATGATATGAGAAAGAAATGTGCGCATGGCCAATTGGTATAGTTCCCACAGGGTAAAATGTTGATTGCTGGATTATGATATTTTATTTTGCCGTGTATGTGCAGTACCTGAAATTAGTTTATTTGGTTATGTGGCCATGTATTTGTGAATGAAATGTTGTGGTGTTGCATAATGAGTGAAAAAACAGCCTGAGATATCTGTGTTTTCGGTATGGGTATAAGGTACTTGTCTTTCCCAAATAATGCAAATAAGCCTTGTTGGGCCTCACTCTAGTTTGTCCATGTCAGTCAGTGCTGGGACTCCCACAGTCTCTAAGGGGAACCAGTATCACCCAAGAGCCTCACAAGCAGAAGTTCATCTTCTGAGACAGATGGATGACTGTTTGTCTTTAATGATCCAGTTAGTCCGCGCTCGAGTTTGATTGTCCTATGCACCTACAGGTAATCAACACAAATGAATTGCAATTAATTCAGCCGCTAAAACAATTTCTCCACCTGATCCGCCGGAGCATTTTGGCAGTAGTGGACCACGAGGACGTGTGAAGATTTGTCGGATTCTTCAGGATGAAAAGCTCCATAAAAAAAAGAAAATGAAATTTCCCCAACTAACATTTATACTTAATGTATTGCTTTTTTAAACGGTGCCATCTGTGACACCTTTCTGGCGTTAAACACCTTGTCTATCACACCTGGCTTCTTTCCTGGAAAGCAACCCAGTGAACACACAAGGATAAACTTAGCCTGTAGTCCTTATCATCTCGTCAAGGAGCAGCACACTGGGAATACAAGCTTATTACTCAACTGATGACAGATTGCTCGGTGAGAATCAATTTGCAATTGATACATTATATTTATACCGAAAGGGTTTTGTTACATTTTTTTCTAGCAGCGTTCCAGTTTTTAATTTCCAACTGAACTCCTTGTGCGTTCCCTGGCCTGTTCCCTGTTTAATTATGATCCACTGGTCTAGTCCTCTTCCCCCCCTCCCCAGGATGACCGAAGCCTAACAGCCACCAGCACTGAAAGCTGAACAGATTCATGTCACCCAAGGTAAAGAGCTTGGCTGAAATGCACTCCAACAAGAGTGAGTCTAACGTAGCTCTGCTGTTCAGCTTCGCTGGGACTTCCGAATGTTTTTCAAGGCAACAGCATTCTGCTTGTTGAATATCATTTCACTATTGCTTCCTGTAGAGAAGTGTTAATATAGAGGCAGGAGATTTTTTTTTTCTGCAGAGTTGTGTTATATACGGTATTCCTACCATCATCATGCACTCTGCCGAGTTTGTGTTTTTTATTCAAGAAAGACAACTATTAAAGAAAGAAAGCTATTAATTGCAAGTGAGTAATGCAGCCAGGGTTTAGTATCGTACCTTGGCAATCACACTTGTCCCGTGGCCAAGAAAAACAATTTTATGTAATCAAGCCATTTGGAAAATATTTAGGCTATTTCTTCGTTTTTTTCTAAGAGGCACAAAGAGACTTCTATAGTATTACATAGGAAAGTTTGATTAACAAACGCTTTCAACTCTGACAGCATTCCTTTGCTATGTAAATGAACTTAAAATGATTAATGCATCTTTAGAAGCAAAATCTAATTAGATGAGTTTCACATATTCCTATATTGAGCAGTGTAGTTTCCCCATTAAGGCTGTATTGTATGTTATGGACGGAAGTCTTTTCATTGAACACTGACAAACAGCAGTAAGTACAAGTCGCACAGAAAGTAAATGTAGAAATAACATTTTCAGGCTGGGCTGATGATTAGAAGGGAGACTTGTTGGGAAGATTACACACTCAGTAAAGAATCAGAAAAATAACACTTTACTTTAGTACTTTAAAAATGATAGTTTTTAACCAAATACAGCAGTTTAACCTGCTGGCTTTACACAATCCACGTGATTGGCTGTGCTGTGGTGCTGCCAGCACAGAAGAGTTGCTGTCATGTGCCACCAAGGTGCAGTAAGCGAGTCCCCTCCTACTGTCTATGTAAAGTGCTTGGGGATCCTTCAGGAAGAAAGGCGCTATATCAACACATTTGTCACTCCTACAAAAGAGGTAAAAATATATGTGATGAGAGCCACAGCCGCTCATCCTGGTTTCAGTGATGAGAGCGTGTTACTGCTGCCTGGGTGGGATACTGACTCCCCAGCACTGCTGGTCACTAATTGTACAGCTGGGTGGACTGGGGCCACTGGGGTGAAGTAGCTGCCTCAAGGCATAACTGCAATGTCTGCAGCAGAGGCTCAAGCCCATAACCCGTCAAGTCATGAGTTCGAGGTGGACCAAAGTGCTACGCCGACCCACTGCTATAGAACGGGCGAAAAGAATGCAAAAATCGACAAAGGCGGGTAAAAGGCTTAATATAAATGTGCTGATGCTGACTCTCACTCTCATTCCCTCCAAATTCCGTACCGATCTGCTGGACCAGACGAAGAACTGGACTTCATGTGTGTGACTGATACTTGAGGATGTCAGCTAACGTTTGCTTTTGACAAAGACACTTGGAGGGAAGGGCTGTCAGCGAACACATCTGCTGGAAATCACTTCAGTAACTGGCTGACATGTCTCCAAGATCAGTGCCACGTTACAAAAAACATCAGTTTCTTCTTTGTAGTGTGTATTTGTTTACTTTTAACTCGTCCCTACAAGGACAGGGGACCTAGCTGCGCTGGCAGATGGCCAAGGCTCATGTCCCGTTCCCACTGGAGACAGAACTGTCCAGCGGCACAGTGGAGCTGTGGCAAGGGACAGACAGTCTGAAGTGTGAGGGTGAGGCGAAGTCAGGGGATTGGGGGCAGCATGGGGATCTTAGACTTTTTTGCTCTGGGAACACTGTAAACCCAGTCCTGCAACACAGATTGGCCAAGGTGCCAGAACTTACTTTGAACCAGGAGCAATGTTTGTTCTGTTTCAGATGATCAGGTTGTCTGAATAATGTAAATAATATGCGTTTCTTTACTTTTGAAGAATGAAGAACACCAAGATACCATAAGACATAGAAAAAAATCCTGACTCCTTGTGCAAAGTGTTATGAATTTGACCTCGACTAATCGATTCCCTTTTATTCAATCTGAAGTTCTGTCAGTCAAATATACTTTACAAATGAATTGAATGGGTGCCTTATTTAAGGATCTGCAGAACCATGTTTTTTATTTAACTAAAGATAAGAAACTAGCTTGTGGGAGAGGTAGGGTTCTCTTTGAAGACAGACAGGAATGGAACAGGATTGCACCTCAATATCTGGGCGAAGCTCCGTGGCCTCTAAAAGATCTCTCCTGCTCCATCAGCTCTTCCCACATGGCTCCCTGCAGCTCACTGCCAACTGCAGGGTGACGTTCAAGACAGACACACCTGCCCACAGCCAGTGCTCAGTTGACAGATCTCTGTTCTTTCAGGTTCTGGCTTTTAGAGAAAAATGTTTTCCGAGGAAGTCAGGAACCAAAAGGAGGAAAAATGTGCTGCACTGAGCTGTTTGTTTAATACGCCCAAATTCTCTTCTAGTTTGATCTATTTCACATTTGCAGTGTTCATTTTTAAACCTATCTGAAAACAATCCCTAGGATTTTTTTTTTCCAAGGCAGTCCCATTACAAAGTGCTAGGATGGTATACATGGAAATCTGCATGCTTTCTTTGAAGTCTCTGGGAACAGGGAGTGCCTTCAGCAAAGAGGGAAAAAAAAGCACAATGCTTTTTTTTTCCTCTGTAAGGCTACCGAGGACTAAAATAAGACAATCCAAAACAGCTGATCTTTCAATTGCAATAAAAATAATAAAAAAAGCAAATGCAATTATCTGCAAACTAAATTGGTGAAACCCCCCATAAATGTCAGTTTCCAAATGACTGTAAACACTCCCATGACTTAATCATGGCTCCTTCCTTTTGTATGTTTGTGTTTTTGCCATCTGCCACCTTGAGCAGCAGAATTAAGCAGCTGCCAGTGAGAGAGTGATCTGGACCAATCAGCAATGTGATCCTTTTCAAACTGCATCTGTGTGAAGCACTGCAAAATGTGGATAGGAAAAAAAGGCTCTAACAAGTTGTTAATTACATTTTCCCTAGGAAAAAAATCTTTTAAAGAAAGCTCCATTAGCATAAATGTCTTAACACATATTAGACTGATGTAATCAGACACAGCTCTCTGCCTCTCGTTCCTGGAAGTAAATGTAGATCTGAGAAAAATGCTACCACTTCATTATATTAGCGAAGATTAAAAGCAAAGCGCTTAAGAGTGATTTGGCTCATGAGTATTCTCAGTTGTGTTAATTTAAAAATGAGTAATTTAGGGCTGAAATGTCTGAAACATTTAAAACAGACGGGAGGAGTTGGGGGGGGGGGGATTTGTATCTTCCCAAAAAACTGCAAAAGAACCAAAGAATATTTGACTTGTGTCACATCAGCCCTTGTGCTAAAAGGTTATTATGCACATTAATAGTTAAAGGGTGTGTGTTTACTGACACATTAATTCCCATCAAATTATTTCCACCAAATTAAATTTTATATGCCGTACTTAGTCCTCAATTAATGTTAAAGATGATGTGGAAAACAAGACACTAAGATATCTCAACTCGGCTGTATAAAACAATAAGGAAAAAGGATAGGGTGACTCATCCTTCTGTAACCATTCTGCTGTATTTCTTCATTAATCACATGCAGATGGGAGTTTCAGTAGTGGTCCATACTCTGTGGTAGCAGCCCATGAATACTGCTCCGCTCACTCTACTGGTGAACGGCTCACATGGGCTATGATTAATTAGAAACAAGTCTTTCTGAAAAGATGAGTGCGGTACTCTATCCTACTACGTCTCCCGCTCTTGTTCATAATAAAGATGTCTTTCAGAAGCTGTGATCCTGCTCTCTGCTCCTTTGTGGAGGGGACGGTGACCTGCTCCAGCCGAGGAAAAAGAAGAGCAGGAGGCTCGCTGGCCGGCCGTGTGTGTGATAACGGGGAGATGCAGTGTGAGCACGCTGTGGCCCTGTTCAGTTTTAGGAAGGGGGCGGGGCTGTGCACAGAGCCCCCCAACCTCGCCGCTCTGCTGTCTCCCGTGGAGAGGGAGGCGTCCAGGGCTGTTTCAAGCCTCCCTCTGACCACTGCCTGCCAATGTCAGCGCCATCACCCACCAGCCTCACAGCTGGCGACCAAGGATCAGTCTAATTTCCAGCTCCCTCTAATGATCACCATGAAGAGCAACCACTAATCCCATAACTGAGAAAAATGACCCCCCGCAGGCTTGCAATCGAGATCCAGAAACACGCCGCACCTCGTCAGAACCCCACGGTGTCCCCAGGGGAGGGGGGTGGGGTGGGGGATGATTCCCCCAGGGGGCAGCACCAAGCCCCCCAGGGCAGGACCCCCTTCTGCTGAGGAGCAGACAGAGACGGCCGCTTCAGAGCAGCACATGCCCAAGTGTTTTTCACTCATTGCTAGAAACCAGAACATAAAGTAAACAACATATGGTTAGATCCATTTTTTTTATTTTTTGTCAGTTTAAGATGGCGTCACGTGGAAAAAGGTTCCCCTGCTTCAACACATAACTGGATGCAGACGAGACGTCCTCTCGTCATCCAGGCCATCTGTACAGGTTTTCAAAATGTGCGCTTCGTAAACTATTTGGTATATCATGGCAAGTTCGAAGTCTGCATAAAAACTCCTGTGCTGAAATCGGGGGAGCTGTCTTGAAGAAAGGGACGATATTTATTTAATTTTAAAACAAAGTGAGAGCTTTTTAGAAGTTGCTAATTACCAAGAGACAGTTACTTCAGGTTTTAGTAGTCTTGCTGTTTGATTAATGCAAATGCATCACTGCACCTTGTCAAAAACAAATAACCAGATGTGGCTTCAATGTTGTCTCCAACGGCCGAGGAAGGAAACCAAATACTAGTTCATCACCCCCCCCCCAAAAAAATTAAAACATGTTTAATACAGCCATTTAAGTAATGAATCACTGCTTCTTTTTCATATAAAAAAGGAAATGAAAACATTCATTTGAGTCCATTTAAATCACATCTCTTCGTGTAATTACATCTCCGAATCGTGGCCCTCTGGGAGTCGGGACCGAACGGAAACAGGAACACAGAAGTCTCCATGCAGGCGGCGGGGCGACGTGGGGCGGCTGAGGAAGGGACAGGAGCAGCTGGCACTCCCATCATGCCTTTCAGCTGTCAGTGAAAGTCTGGCTTTTCGGGGAAGGTGCACCCTGCGCGCCTGATGATGACGTTGGCCGCATAGTGACCGGCGTGGATGCACTGCTCCAGCGGCCGCTCATAAACAACCTGCGACAGAAACCCTGGGTAAGGAAGAAAAGGGAATATTCATCTGTTAGCACCGAGAAATACGTGGCTGTGGGAAGCCCAATAATAAGATAAGATCACTTTATTGGCCATATACAATTTCTTTTATTAGACTAATCTGTTCTTTTCGCATACCCCAGCTTGCTCTCCATGAGACACACAGGCAAGATGAGAAGCTTGGGGGCAGAGCACAGGGTCAGCTATTTTATACAGTGCCTCTGGAGCAGTTGGAGTTAGGGGCCTTGCTCAGGGGCCCAACGGAGTAGGATTCCTCTGGCGGCTGCAGGATACCAACCGACAGCCTTGCAGCAACAGGCTCAGATCCTTAGCCACAGAGCCACGGCACTGGCCTGTGGCTAATTAGCAGGAATGAAGGCCCGGATCCATAAGGATGGTAAATTGAATTTTAAATGCAGTTTGCAACAAATACTAACTAAGTCACAAATGAATATGTGATTTAATAAATGAATGAACGAACAGCAACCCAGAACTGTGAGGATGAATTAGTGCCACTGCCCGCCAGCCCCAGGAATGTCTCTATCCAATGTGTCATTACAGTACAGTGACATACAGCTGGCAGACTCGTGTTCTGACATCATCAAGTACTGGCTCGCAACCTCTGCGAGAGAATAAAAATCGATACTATGTTGGAGCAAACATGCTTACAGCTTTATTAGGATGTCTTGCTTGTCCTGAAAGAGCTACTGAAAGACCTGGTAACAAATCAGCTCTTGAAGCCAGAGAGCTTGAGAAGAGGCCCACTGATAAGGTTATTACAAAAATAAACTGCGGGAGACTGAAAGGCCAGAGCGAACAGCACAATAAACGTCAATATTTCAATTTTCAAGAACAGCTAAACCATGTGCTGGGAGATGCGTTTGGACAAACACAATTACATCGACTTGTTTGAAGTGCGCAGAAGGAGGGACTTTTGAAATAGCACATGAATACCTTGAAAACAGTTAATAAGAATGATATTCTGTGTAAAAATGTAAGAACCTTTTAATACATAGAATAAGGCTTTAAAAAGCAACCTTGTTCCACCTTCAATATCATCAAGACCTTTGTTTTATAATATACTGAAGGTCTCACAGCGTGACACGGGGTGAAGACGAACAGGAGTTTGTCATGGGGAGAAGTACAATTAGAGGCTCCAATCAACCATTTCTTAGCACAGCTTCCCGTCCAACAACACTCTGACAACAGCACAGAAAAACAGAGTGCTCTGGTAGGAACAGCCTTGCTCTCTTGACTATGTTTGAAACAATGAATGGGGGAAAAAAGTGTTCTTGATTCAGAACACATCAGTGCCATATGAAAAACTACAATTAGATTTAAGACAGAAATGAAACGCCCAGAAAACGAACAGTCCCCCCCCCAGCTTTTCTTCTATTATTTTGCCTGTATTTCTTTTCTTTGGTTTAAGAACCTCCTGAAGTCCACAGGCTAAGCAGGGCAGGGTGTTCACCACTGCAAACAGTTCCGTACCTGGTGCTTCACCAATAACCTTCAGAGCTGTGTGCAACAGCTATTTCCTTCCCCCACACCCCTCCATCCTCCCACGTGCTGAGCCTACATGCAAAATAATCTAAAACTAAATAAAAATAAATGAGGATTGTGCAGAATAGTTCTTCAAGAGTTTGAAACAAGCAAGCAATTAAATACCTATAAAAACTCTCTTTAAACACACCCAATGACAAAATACCTACCAAAGTTACAAATATTGGCACCCAAAGCAAGGTTAAAAATTAATTTGAAAATTAAACAGCCCTCTGTCGACGTCACAGGTTACACCAGTGCGCTGAACTAGCGCTGATCCGCGGGACAATTTCAGGCTGTGGCAGTGATCTTGATTCTAACACAAACTGCAATCAGTGTGCATGGGAATTTAACCATGACTGGTTTTGAGTGAAGCAATTCAAGATTAAGGGCAGCTGTTGGAGGTATTTAAAATGGACAGCTCCTGACAGGAGTTTGAGAAAATGCTGATGTGTGCATCGAAACATACCTCCCACAAACGCATCACCAGCTCCATTAGTGTCCACAATCTCACTCTGCTCGATTTCTAAGACGGGGAACATCTTAACTTCATCACCTAGGAACAAGAAGAGAGAGAATAAAATGCAAATCTGAGAACATTTTAGAGCCTGAATCAGAGCATATATTCCACTTTAATCTATAGTACAGGAACTAATTATATATATGGACTTAGTTACATATTTCCATTGCATCTGACAAGGCTATTGCTCTATTACAGGTGATAAATTGAAATTCTGCTCAAGATGTAAGCTTTGGTAAATGTCAAACATTTTCAACTACTAGGACTGTTAACAGCCTCCACAATAACATGCTTTATGTCAACACTACAGCACTTTCCCAGGGAACCTCAGGCCTGACAAGTTTGGGCCTTATGTCCTGCCAGCCTTTGTGAGTTGTTTAGTTTACAGGGCTTTTCTTACGTCCCCATTTTCTGGGGAAATGACAGTAATTTCTTTGTGCGTGCTATCGGAAATACTTTAATTGAAAACCTACACATGTACTGCGCGTATAGATAGAAGCAGGACCTTTTGTATTTGTATATAAAATATGTGCTTTCAAGTCAGCTTTAAAAAAAAAAACACTGTCAACATGTTTAGGCAGCAATAAAAGTGGGTCTTAGTGGCTGGAAGAAGTGGGGAAATGGGAATTACTGACGAGAGAAAACACCTTCCAGAATGACATTACAGACACATTACAGATCCTCAGGAGCAGGGCAGATCCTCTGCCTCACCTGCACAAAATTAAAGACTCACATTCAGATTGCAAGAAAAAAGATTTCCGAAGGGGGAAGGAATTTGGGTTACTTTTCTGGGACTCGAAATAAACTGTTACAGCTAAAAAAAATAATTCCCAATGCCGTGATTTTAAGACTACAGGCCTATGTTTCTAAGGAAGCTGCTTATCTGTTGCACCTTGGTACACAGACGATTGCCGTGTGTCGATGCTCCCCCAACACACACACAGTCCATCTGATTTGCTACTTTCAACACAGCCTTTTTAAAAAGGCACAGTGCTGAAATATTTATACCATTATTATCCATCAGAACATAATGAGACTTATTTATTAGGGCGCCAGAAGACTTCATTTCGAGTCCTGGGCATTGCTGCGAACTGAGTGCCGTAGTCAGTCTCGTCTTTGATCAGTCTTACATCTTACAATCAGTGCAAATTTTAAACATCTTTGTTTAAGCGCCGCCAGCTGTCAGCTCCACTTGTGCGCTGATGGAGACGGGCAAGCTGATGGGCCATTCTGGAGCGCGCCGCAGCAAACCACGCGGGCCAACTGCAAAACGTGACTTCATTTTAATTACCTCTTCCCGAAAACACTTGATTGGTTTTAGAACTTCCAGCTCCACGACAGATGTCATTCTCTCCCTGCCAATAAGAACTTTTATCATCTCAATGACCAAAACATATTCTAGGCGTATTCTGGGTAAGCACTGGTCTCTTTTATTAGGTTTTTAGAATCTAATTTAATTTCTACTTCAAATAAATCATTTATGTCAGATTCATAAAGAGGACTTTGAGATCCTCTGTTCTGGAGCCTCACCAGAATAAATTACGCAGAAAGTCTTCAGACATTTTTCATGGGTCCCTCGTGGTCTCTAATGGGGAAAAACCTACCTCTGCCCAAATTCCGACATTTTCTATTTATCTGGGTGTATCACAGACCTGGGGAATCCGCTCCAGTTCTATAGCCGCCATGTGACATCTCCAAAGACAGCCTCTCTCTACAACAGACAGGTCCCCTGTTGCCTTAAACCTTCCAGACTAGGTCTAGGCAGTACCCCAGTCCCTCCTTACACGTGTAGAGCACCCCACGGTGTCTAGACGGACAAGCTGCAGGCACGGGAATGAGCTTGTGAGATGCACTGACACTGAGGGGCAACCCCATAGCACCACAGACGAAGGGTGCGCTGTGATACATATGCTTTATCTCAGAGATCGCTCTGTCTTCTTAAACGAAGCTGCCGATTGTGGCTTTGATAATTAATTACGTAAAATGCAGATCCTTTTAGGATCAAGCTAATTAGTGGCAAAACGACTTTGCTTAATTAACGCTGCCGATGAAGCATGCTAACCCGCCTCCCTCTTGAAATGATTAACTGCAAATCTTACATGTAAATTATGTTAACAGTAATTCATAGTTTGTCAATTATTCTACAATTAGAGGTTAAAACGCCTAATTGGGATGCGGCTCTAGCAGAGTACCGTTCCTGTCAAACCCATGACAGCAATGGCAGGCTTTGGCTCCCAGTCCAGGTTTTCTAAACCCACTTTTCCGTCTATAACAAGAGGCTGAATCTTGACCAGAAAATGTCCAAGTTTCTGTTTGTGAGAGCTGCTGACACAAAAAAGAAGGTCTCTGCTTGGGGACATCTCTGTATCTTCTTCAGTGTTTGTATCTTCATGCTGCAGACCCACTGTAATCATATTCAGCACAGACTGTATATAGCATGGGAGCTGCAGGCAGGCTAATTTTACCAAACAGTTAAACTCTCCTTACTTACCAATAATGCCTCAGTCCTTCTTTCAGTCCTTAAACCGTTCTGGTGTTTTGACTGAATTATAATCTATGATGTTGGTGCTTTGTTGTGTGTCTGCATACAGATATATACACACACCTTATACCTTCAACGGCTTTTACAGATAACAAACACACACATGCCAACATTGTCTTGTAACACACTCTACCTTTCAGATGTGTTCAAAGAATTTATTGTTGCCCTGCAGCCTGACAAACAATGTTAGCGCCCATTAACAGAGCCCTCTCTTTAAATTTAGTGACAGAAGAACAAACATCCCAAGCATCAGAAGAGTAAGATACAGTTTACCAAGCTCAATACAAACACATACTTCTTTTTTCCCCAAAAACAATATTCACATTTCAACGGGAGTTTGAGATAGAGGTGAAACGTGGCAGCAATCAACAGATATGGAGGCATACATTTACTGCAGGACAACTCAGATTGCATCAGTGTTGTGAATGAAATTAGGAGAATCCGTGACGTTTCAGATTTGAAACAGGTATAAATGTGTCAAAAGGCTGAGGACTTCCCAGGAGGCAGAAGTCCACTAAATCCTACTTGTGTGGGAGTGTGTGGGAGAGGACCAGTTGGCACTGAGGCGGTTGGGAATTAGTGAGGCATCATTAGCATAAACACAGGAACGGCAGCCTCACTTGAACGTGGAACATCAGCCATGTCAGTCAGGTGTCAGGCTTTGTGATGACAGCAGTATCTGCTGCTTGGGTCTGGGCGGAAACAATTCTCTCTTTCATACCTTCTACACAACCTGACAAAATGCCACTGAATGCCACCAACGCCCCTTCAATTAAATATAAAATTCCTTAACACAAACTGACAGCACCCGGCGCGGTTGTGTGTCGGATGGTTCATCATTTCTGTGGGGGGAAAAAAAACGAATAAAGGTAGGTGCTCCCAAAATTCCTCCAGGAGGCTGGAACTGAGCTCCTGATGGAAACCCAAATCAGCCTGACTGCAGCCACAGAGCTGGCCGGCCGCGAGCTGCTCAGCTGCGCTCCGGGGAAAATATAGCCCAGCTGGCCGGGAGTCAGCGCACACTGGGGCTGCTCCAGGTGACTCCATTCTGGTGAGTCATGGCAGAAATATGGACTGATTACTGGAACGAGCTATTGTAGCCATACATCACAACAGAACCCGAAATGGCCGGAGTCCCTGGAAAACTAACCAACCCATCTGGTTTTCAAGAATTCAAACACTCAAGTCATTTATTAGGCTATTGTTAATTAGCAAGGGCATGATTTCAATTATTCATTTAAATCTGTGACTTAGTACAAAGAAAATGTAAGCAAGCCTGGTATGAAACCGAAAGATTTAAAATGCAAACTAGACGGCAAAATAGCTACTGCAATATTTTCTTTCCTTATAAAAAAAAGAGCTAAAAATAAAAACAAAGCAGCCATTACCGACCAGATGTTAATATTCTAAATCCTTTTTGGATCACAGTAGTGATATTGTAAAACAAATTCATTACACTGTAAAAAAAAAAAAACAAGCACTTGGGAAAACTGTCTTTAAAATGATGACTGTTTTTATTGCTTATTTTTCTTTAAATTTACAAGACATCAAGTAGCACAGAGCTGCACTTCCACCTTGAACAAGGCTGAACTTGCACATGTGCGTGTAGACGGCATTGATGTTTAATGGTGCATGATGCTCTAGGTAGTTCCCATAACCTTGCTTTGTCTCCGACAAGCTGCGTCAATTGATATGATAATATCGAGAGGATGTCTGAAATGAGCAGGGCTGCGCTCGGACAATCTGTGTGCTCTTTGGATTTTCCACCATTTGGTAGCCAAATGGTGTCCAAAACTCTTTCTTAAGTGCCAAAGGCAACACTGAATTGGATTTGGAACACATGGAAGCAGAGCAGATGCTTAGAATCCAAATGATATATATGTACACGTCTTAAATTACAATAAAAAAACCCACAAACTGCAGTATAAGCTGTGCATCGTGATACTTTATTAATAAACTGTTGTGTCTAATCTACATATTACCCTCCTTATAGTGGGATAACACCTAACACATCTGCTCGTTTGACTTTGTGTGCGTAGGGGGTGTGGGTGTTTCATTATAAAAAAGCTGCACAGCTTATAATATTATCTGAGAGATCAGCTTTTGTGAACAGGATTCCTTGAACAAATTACAGCACATACACAAACTATTAATTAATACAGTACAAGGACTCACTGTAGGCACAAAGCACGGGGGCCTGCAGGCTAATTCACATAAGTCTCATAAAGGAAATAATGGCAAGAGTGCTAGAAGAAAATGATCATGAAGAGAAATGTGATTAAGAAAAACAGAAACTTACACTCTAAACACTGTGCTGAGCTCCTCTCTCAACCTGCTTCCCCATGTCTTTAATCAAAAGGCAGAGTTCTTCTTTCATTCGAAGCAGATTATTGAATTTGGCTGTATAAAGACAGCTCCAGTGAAATCAATGACTAATCCGAGACCAATTTTATGTTAATGTAAAACACAAAGAGCGGATTGGCAGAACTATTTA